ACTCAGAAAGCCAGCGGGGCCCACAGGAACACGCCAGGAAGCAGGCCAGGCTGCTTTAAGCCATGAATGCACACACAATGAAACATCAGACTCCACATCTAACTTCTCGACGTTGCTTCCTCTAGCAGGAGCTCCATGCGCGTCTGTCTGGCAGTAAGTGCTTTGCTGCTGATAGTTTAAAAATCAAACATGGGAACGGTGGCTGCACCACTACGCAGCTTCTGGTGTAAAAATGTACAAGTCACGGGGAGAGGGGGGTCAGGAGAGGGTGGTGGGGTTATGGACATTGGGGAGGGTATGTGCTATGGGGACTGCTGTGAAATGTGTAAACCTGACGATTCACAGACCTGTACCCCTCGGGATAAAAATACATTATACATTTATTACAAAATTTAAAAATTAATTAAAAAAAATGTACAAGTCACGATCGGAACAAATCTGTTACATGTTTTGTATCCCTGGGGTCCACTACATTTTTAAAGGGTTTGCTTAAAATTTGGGACACCTGGGTGGCTCAGTCAGTTAAGAGTCTAACTCTTGATTTTGGCTCAGGTCATGATCTCAAGGTCGTGAGATCCAGCCTACATCTGGCTCTGTGCTCAGGACAGAGCCTGTTTTGGATTCTTTCTCCCCCTCCTCCCCCCTCACCCCCTCACACACAGGCGCACCCACACAGGCGTGCGCGTGCACTCTCTAAAGAAAAACTTTAAAAATAGAAAGATCTGCTTAATATTCAGGGGCGTCACAGCTACATACAGGTGATCAAAGAAAACCTGAGCTTGGCTTTGGACCGTAGCTCTTTTCCTGTTGCCAAACTGTCTAGGCAATTACAACTCAATGTGTTCCCAGTCCATCAACAGAGATCCCTTCTTGTTAGCGGTCCCCTGAATCCAGGGGCTCCCTCAAAGCTGGCTGGCCCAATTTTCACCTGATTCCAACACAGCTACAATTTATATTTCTCTGTAGTTAAACATCACTTACTAACAATCAACATAAATTATTTCCTGTTAGCAAAGTGCCCTTCTACTAAGAGAACAGTGAAGCCATAAAGCTACTCTATTAACAAGAATTATCGCACTTTTAAAGATTTTATTTTTTTAATGTGATCTCTATACCCCAACACTGGGGCTTGAACTCTCCACCCAATATAAGAGCAGTAGGCTCCACTGACTGAGCCAGCTGGGAGCCACTAGAATTTTAAATACTCCCCCCTGTCCAAAAAGCCTTCTGTCCATTTCAAGATCTAGATTCTTGCCTCCTCGGAAGCCTCACTGTGATGACCACGTAGCAAACACGTACTCATCTAGGGGACTAAGTGCTTTTTTCTGTGTACTGAGCAGGTAGCACTACCTCGTTATGTGTGAACACGGAAAAGGGCCCTTAGCACAGTGCCTAGCATTTAACAGGCATTAAAGGAAGTTAATTCTCTCTCCCTAACTTCTGTTTCCTCTATTTATTCTAGATCTTCAGGCTCTGAGAGGTCCTTACTTCCTATCACAAACCAAATCTCAACACTGTTGTAAACCCTTCATTTATAATTCTAGCAAGAAATAAAACTCTAGGCCAAGATGTGCAGCCTATCCAGAATTAACCATTGGGAAATACTGTCACTGGAACAGGACAGACAGTCCTAATTTATAAATTAGCAGTGTCTCCAAAGTTCATCTGCAAAGTGGTGTAAACACCCTTTCTATGATGTTATATTTAGGATCTCAAACTCTCCCGCAAAAGCCCATAGTACCGCCAACGTACCTGAATGACAATACCAGGGTCACAGCCTGGACTGAGCACAGCGCCCTGGTCCTGGCGGACGGTAGCTGTTCGCTGCCTCACGAATCCCCGGGGCGGGGGATGTGCACAGCAGGCTCTGGACAAAATCTCTATCCAGCCCCAGAAGGCACACACCTTCCCTGACCTTCCTCATGCGCCCTTCTCACTTCCCGCCCTCTTCCACGTGACCGATGCCCTCAGAACTCCCGGATTCTCAACTGCAGCCCCTCACCAGAGCTCCACTTTTAAGGCGGAGGCTCCTCCCTGCCAAAATCACCTGCGATCAGCTGTACATCTGAAGGGAAGAAATCTGATCGTAAAGGTATTCCACGAGGGAAGACGGGTGTCTGATGAACCTGCACTTGTCCAGAGATTTCTGCCTCTTTAAAAGAAGCCTGGCTACCCAGACAAATCTAACTTTGTGTGGAAGACAGGAAAACGAGCTGAAACAGGTCTGCACGGAGAGGTGAGGGCCACCTGGGGGCCTGTTCCTAAGCTACCTCGGCTTTTCAGAGTCACTTCCTCCTCCTTGCCATTTTGAAAACTCATCATTTTTTTTTTTTTTTTTAACAACCTCCACAATGTCTTCGAGTTCCTACAGGAATAGCAGGTATATGATAACACAAGTATATGACAATATGATGGGAGTGGGTACGATGAGTCCAGTTTGGGCAGTGTTCCTTCCAAACTGGAACATAAGCCATGGTGTTCAGGATTCCTATGTCCTCAAAATACAGTCACCCCCAAAGCGAGCTGCAGAAGCTACGGGAAAACTCAGATGTCAACACAGGGCCAGAAGTCTGGTTTTACTCATCCTGGCATGGTCAGAAGGGGATATTAGATTTGTTTCTAAAGTGTGTTGGGGAGCAGGGGAAATGGCACACATCAACTCTTACGTTTATAGGAGAGAATGAACAACAAACGTATTCTAAATGAGAACAAGAAAAGTGGGCAACGAAAGTGGATACTTTTGAAAAAGAATCAAAAATCAAAAAAATCTATACAAGATTCTGCACGCATACTCGTTCACTCTAGATGCCCTGGGGCATCAATTACTTTAAGTGTAAAAACAGAAAACATCCACTTGGCCAGGGAAAGCCAAGAATCTGGACACTGAATTCCAACACATGCTTGAAGCTGATGCCTGATATCAGCATCAAAAGGCAACAGCCTCATTAAGAAATGGCACAAACTCTTTCCGGTAGCAGGCAAAGGCTTAAAAGCCAAGTCGGCGTTGGGGGTCTGGAAGGGGAAATGAAAACTGAATTTACCTCCATCCATGAACAAGCAGCTACTAAGGCTGCTTAAGACACCCCAACAACAATTCTCTTTACTACAAACATGCTGAAGGTCGTCAGAATGAAAGCAGCCATTATTCTGACCCGTCACCTGGACTTTCGTTACCCCCACAAGAGTGACACGTCAGACAACCAGAGCACCCCGCCCACATGCTGGGCTTTTCCACCCAGATCCCCAGGCACTCTGACAAGTGCTTATTAACCTTGATGACGTGCCAATGAGAAAGAGAGTTGGCCACCACAGCCTTTTTATTTTCCTAGGGGGAGAAAGGGGAGAAAATCGAGCTAGTGAACTAAGGGACTAAACCCAAGGTCACCGGTAAATCAGAAAAGTGGACTCAGGACTTAGGCATTCCAGATCACCACCTCCACAATTTCTCAATTAGTCCCTAATGGCAAACAGGAAGTCTATCTCTATTTTGCTTTAAGAAAAGAAGCTCTCGGAGGGCACAGGGCCCACTGTTCTTATAGGCTGCTGAGTCCTACCTTGAGATTTAATTTCAAAGTAACTGTAGCAACAATTACATAAAATGAAGTTTCCTTTTCTTCCTAACAACTCTTCTATAGAGAATTCCCGGGTTACTCGAGCACCAGACGGTGGACGACGCACCCTGAGGACACCTGTGTAGGACCAAGGGGGTCACCAAGAAGCCCCTCATGTGACCATAGTAACCCCCACTTCCTCACACTGGCAGACCCAACCCACCACGCCCTCCACTGAAGACACACTTTTGCCTTAGACAGGACAACCCCAGGAAGAAAGGAGAGCAACGATGCCACAAAGTTCACACGGTTTGCAAGAATCCAGTCATAGGATTTTTTTTTAAAGCAACCGTAGGCAGTAAAAAATGAAGTTATGCAATAATACCTAATGCTGTCTTATCCGTCATTGCTAAGCTTCCTATTGAATAAGTAAAAGAAGAAATTCTCAAGGTCGAGAAGGACAGGAAGGTGGTCGTGGCTTTGCACCTGGCCTGACAAAGGGCAGCGCAACGCACACGGCAAGTCTGCGACGGTACCCAGCATCGGCTCCGCGCCAACCGCCCACAAGGGAGGACGCATCTCCCTGTGAGGCCTGAGCTCCCGAGTTTTTAAGTAACCCAAAGGAAAAACTACCTACGAAACCCCTGTAATTCCACAAAAGAGGGATTATACTAAAAGAATGCTGTGGGAAGGGCAGAAATGACTCAAGGACATGCTGAATTTTTCTGGCAGGGACCAAACACTCCAACTAGAATGATCCAAATGATCACGTGAATTGGAGGCAACTCTTCATGAGGAAAAGTGCCAGAGAGAAGACCCTTCCTCTAGCTGAACGTGAAAGTAACGGCAGGATAGTACCGCTAACAAGAACTTGTATTTAAGAGACTTTCTGAAGAAATTCCAATAGCTTCCTGGGCAATTGTTTCAATAATCCACATACCAGGCCTGCAGGAGGTAGGAGGGAGGTATTAATGCCACTCTGCAAATAAGGAAAAGGAGCACAGGGAATGGGGCGTCAGGTGCCCCGACTCCCCCGCCCCCTGCCACTCTGCAGGCTCACGCACTGCACCACACGTGCAGAAGGAGGTCGACAAAAACTGTCCTTTTTGGAGGAAAGAGAGGGACAAGGACAGTTTTGTAACCTCTGGAAGAAGCTGCACTTAAGAGAGAAAGTCGAGAATCCAGCTGACTCTGCTAGGTCAGAAGGAAGGGCATAGCTGATGAGACAACAGCTGCTTCTTCTCCCGAAGTCTTGTCTCATTTTCACACACCTCATGACTTAATTACTCTCACCTATCCTCTTACAGAGTTCATTCTCGCTATTCCTTAGCGAAAGAACAAAACATGCAAAACCATTAAAAAAAAAAAAATCAGTTGCCAAATCCTTAAGCTCCTCCCACTTTCCCTCCCCAAGCTGGAAGCGGAGGAGCCCCGGGATCGGTTACCTACCTTCGCTTCATCATTAATGTCCCAAGTGAAGGAAACGGCATTGTACGCAATCTCCTCAATGTTACTGATGGTGTTGAAGCTTTCTTTATAGTCAGCTACATGAGTGGTGGAAAGAAAGGGAAATTGTGATTTCTGGTTCCAACGTTTTCCGTATTATTGCCTCTGAAAAACTTATATGAACATATTGTTGGATTGAAAAAATTTCAAAAAGATGAAAATAAGAATCACAAGATTTTTAAAATATAGGTAAGCTTAGACCTAATTTTTCCCCATTATGTCAAAATTAAGATATTTAGGACTAAAAGGTTACATAATTGTCCCAAGGTCACAAAACTAGCTCAGAGAACCAAGATGAGAACTCAGCTCTTTTAAATTTTTTTGAAAAGAGAACATGAACTTTACAAAAGACAAAAGAAGTAACACGGAGATTAAGGGCCATCTTGTGATACAGACGACGGTTCTGTACCAAAATTCTCTACATGGCAAGAAGAGCCCTTCTCATGAAGCCGCTGCATTAAACGCGGGTTTGCCCAGGTCTGCCGCCACAGCCCAGCGGCTACATCCCTGGGTCTCTTGGAAGACAAAAGAGTCTAGCAGTACAGCTCATCAGGTAGCCAGGGGAGATAGTTTAGGTAAGTGCCCGCCAGCAGTATTTGCTTCTGCTTGTTTATTTAGGGTTTTTTCTCTACTTCACCATCATCTACAAATAATCTGTCTCTTTTAAAGAAGACATTCCGCCTCAAAAACTTTGCCGACCAAAGAGCAGGGCCCTCTTATGTGAGCCAGCTCTAGCGCTTCTGGTCCAGAGTCCTCTGGAGAGCCAGCACTGCACAGGCCACACGTCCTTATGAAGGAAATAAAGTGAAGAACACTGATTCCAGGAGGCCGAGAACAGGGTTTGGAACAGATCAGAAGCTGGCATAAAAATTCAAATGCTTTCGGCAGGAAGCTGATCGCTGCCAAAAATAACTGGAACTAGAAAACTGGATGCTTACACCTCTGGGAATAAAAGCAGGCTCCAGAGCTCCTCACCTATGTCAATGCACCTTTGTTTGGCCGTGTGCTGCCGTGAGTGCCAGTATTTCCAGTGCCTTAACTGATCTTCTCTGCTTTTGTCTTCTGCAAAAACCACCATGATCACACTCTACGAAAGAGAATGGATTATGATATAAAGACGCTAAAGGGTGAGTATCTTCTGGAAATCTTACTTAGTGTTCTATTTTACAGTTAAGGCTGTATACTGCCATTTTAGATCTTCATTTAGATCTAAATGAAAGCTCTGACGAGCTTTCCTGGAGAACAGAGCCAAGAGCAGAACGTACCCGGACTTTGCTGATGGGCCGGTGGATCCCCTCACTGCTGCTCACCTCCTTCAAGGTGACAGGGTAGAACTGTCCTTTGTTCAGGTAGGTCATGGTGCTATCTCCTGGCTTCTGTCGAAGTGATTTTGAGGCTTCCAGGGTATATTCAAAGTTGTTCCTAAAGAACAAAAAAAAAGCCACAGCTCTCTAAACCACTCTTTCAGAAGCTCTCTATAGGTCAGCGCGATCTCTGAAATGCTTCAGTGTGGATGTATGCAAATAGCCACCTACCAGCAAACATCCAACTGACTATGTCATATTATAAACCACATGTGCTACTTCTGGCACAATAAATATAAGCTAAAGCAACACAGATATTCTCAAATCTCTCATATGTGGGGCTACAAAATGCCTACTAGAAATTCTATGAAGTAAAAAGGTTAAAAATTAGAAGTTTAGATGCTAAGGGTATTAAAGATACTAGCAGCTGAAAAGGACTTTGGAAGGAAATCTCACAAGACATGCTTCCAATTTGGTATTTACCCAGCAAGGGCTGCAAACAGGTGGCCCGGTAGGTCTCTGATTAAATTCGATTTGGTCTGCACAGCACTCTTTTTGAGGTTTTTGCTTGGAATTTCAATGTTTTGTGATGGGCACTGCACAATTCTCTACATTCACTATCACTTAAAGTAACATGTATATATCTCCCTTGAGTTAATAACCTTCCTAGACCAGAGCTCGAGAATTACACCTATTTTTGTAAATAAAGTTTTATTGGAACACAACCGCACCCTTCTTCGCGCATAGTCTACAGCTACTTCTGTGCCGCAGTAGCGAGCTGGGCAGTCGCAACAGAGCCTATAGGGCTCACAAAGCTTCAATATGTACTATCTGATCCTTTACAGAAAAGGTTTGCTGACCCCTATCTTAGATCCTACAGGTATCTGAGTTTGTGACTCCTGTACCTTAAGGCAGGTCTTTAGGGAAGTCTCAATTCCCATCAAATCCTAGATTTTAAAAACAAAAAACAAAACAAAAAAAAAACTGGTTTTACTTCAAAGCACAACATACAAAAAATGCGTAAGACTAAATTATAAAATGAAATCCTAAATGCTTTTAAAAAACATCTGAAGGTGTTCGTACATTTTCCTAATTAACTTGGAAGATACTCATATTGCCGGCATGAAGTACAATTTTGAGGTTTTATTTTATTTTTTTTTTTTTTAAGATTTTATTTATTTATTTGAGAGAGAGACAGTGAGAGAGAGCATGAGCGAGGAGAAGGTCAGAGAGAGAAGCAGACTCCCCATGGAGCTGGGAGCCCGATGTGGGACTCGATCCCGGGACTCCAGGATCATGACCTGAGCCGAAGGCAGTTGTCCAACCAACTGAGCCACCCAGGCGTCCCCAATTTTGAGGTTTTAAAAGAAGAGGTTGTCAGGTCAGAAAAAAGCTGACTTCATTTATTTCACCACAAGTGAGGCTGATACAAAATAAAAGCCTTTATCCACTTGATGTTATTCCTGAATTCTCACAGAATTATATGTTCTTGGAAATGGAAGGGAGCTCAGAGATCTGATTTAATCCCCTCATCTCTTCTTTTAGATTCCATTCTACCACCATCACATAAAGAAGCTGAGGGAAAGAAAAAGCACCAACACCAAGAATTAAGGAAACATGAAACATAGTACAGAGTTCAAAATTAAATGCACTAAAGCGAATGTCCCTCTAGCGAAGATAATACCACCAAAGCCACCTCTGATTTTCCAACATCAGACTAACACAAAAAGTCATAAGAGCTGAAAGTTAAAAATCAAATTAAAAGACAACTATTACCCAGAAACACTGTCAAAAACATAGTCCTCTGAATTCATGCCAGGCATCCGCAGGCTGAGATCCGAGGGGAAGAAAACCTGAAATACGAATGTGATAAGCCACGACTATTTAACTGGTTATGAGGCTCGCTAAAGACTGACATGTGGTACAGCACACAAGTATGTGGCTCACGGCTACGCACTACTCATTCGACATTCATTTGAAAATAAAAATTTTAACTCTACAAAAAAATTCTGAAGGAAAAACAGCCATTTCATATGCCACTCAATTACATGAAGACAATCCACGCAGGTACTCCCCCAGAGTGCTGCCTTTTCCCCTGTTCCCAGCTTCCCCACACGTCTCAATTCTGTTCAAACTTTAGAATCTGCAACCAAGATCTCGTGACTTTCAGGGCTCATCACAGCAAGTGAAGCCACCATATCAGGTCTGCACCACCAGGACTGATGCGCTGTTCTCAGATAAGGCTACGATTCTACTCCTAGCGCCCTAAGCAAAGGGATATTCCTTTTCCCCATGAGACATTAAATATGGCTTTAAACATCTTCACTCCCCAACTTTTACCTGAGAGGGGTTCATCACCACAAAACCCTGAAAGCGTCTGGAGTTAATCTGTAAATTTCACACAACGCATGCCTCACCAACATCTACTGCCTCCCTGACTCTACTACCAACCGAGAGAGACCCAGAAAATCCATGAGAAATCATTTTATATTGAGACCAATTGCAGGAATCTTGTTCTGGTCTAGGGCAAAAGCTGAAAACAGACTTCTGTGGAGATATCTATTGTTGATGGAAGATTACATATGAGGTTTTCTTTCTCCGACAAAATCACTTAGCTGAAATCATAATTGTTAACTCAAATGCTGGTAAGATTAGCCATGTGCCCTTGATAATAATTTCTGGTTTTGTAGGTTTAGTTTACAAATTATACCCATTGGCCTTTTCTCGTAAAAAAGAAAGTCTTTTGTTCCTAATCCATTCATTTCAGGCTGAGTTTCAAGCTTATATAACAAGAAGAGTGGAACCCAATACTTATACAAACACACAAACGTCTTAGGAAGATGCTTGCATTTCCTGTACCTCCTGAACGCCTTCCTTGAAGGTCTCTGAGAAGGTAGAGTCTGGAGTTCTCCTTTGAGCATTTGGGGGTTGAGAACCAGAGCTGAACTGGTCAGCATTAAGGTTCCGGTCGAAAACCACCACCCGCTCAGTGGGCTCAGGATGATATACTGCCGGAGAGATTCCCACAGCAAAGCCATGGGGCTGGGTTTCTGTCTTGATGGAGTGGGTAGGCATTGTTGCTATGGAGACGGTGACTGTTGTATCAGGAGCTGTTAGATGGCCTCTCTTATCAATGCCCAGTTGGTTGCCATGGGGAAGGACAATGTTAAATGGCACATTTTTCAGTACTTGCACTCTGTTTTCTCCAGCAGAAATGAGGGACTGCTCAGTCACATTTGGTATGCTGTTTCTTTAAGAAAAGAAAAGAAAACTATGTTTTCAAACTCAATGCTGATAACAGTTCTTTGACAATTTTTATTTTCCTAATGGCAATGGGCCATTGGGTCCTTTGCAATAGTAATAATAATAATAATAATAATACGTTTGGGAGAAACCAAATAAATAGAAAATGGCAATGAAAACCCATTACTAGAGCAAGAAAAAAAGATTTCATCGTTAATCAGTCATAAAATCCAAAAGCATCAAGTAAAATTTCACTTGAAATCTAGAGAACTCAGAGCTCTCCTCTACTATGCTTTATTTGCAAGAATCCTAATACAGTGGTCATATTTCACTAGAAGCCCGAAGCTACTAACGTAACCGGCTAGAGCAGTACGGTGCTTCAAGCACAGACTCTAGAGTCATTCCGCCCTGGTTCAAATTCTGTGACCAGTGGGACACTATCTCATCTCTTAGTAAGTACGTGCTTGTCTATAAGGTGAGGGTAGTAATGCTATCTATCTTTCTGTCCTCACAAGGTTGTGACAAGGATGAAATGAGACAAGGCGCTGAAATGTGTATGATGATGCCTGGTGCACAAAGGCTTGAGAAGTATGAACAGTTATCTCACTTGGCCACCACGTTTCCTAGGACCTACACTTATCTGGCTTTCTCTACACCAAAAGAAAACCAATGGTTACACTGTACAGGTTGCTATACTTGCATAAAATTACTTTTGGTTTAATAAATATCCTGGGCAACAGAAAATGACTTTTAGTCCAGGGCGAAGTTAGTGAATTTTCCAAAGCCCCCTCAAACAATATATGCTGATACCTTTAAGAAATAAAGCAACTTGGCAGTTCTGGACATTTCAGATCAATAAAATGTTCAAAACTTGAACCATAAATTTGCTCCCAAGAATTTCCTAATGAAAGAAAAAAAAAGGAAAAAGCTATCTAGAAAGTGGTTTTTCAAGGCTTTGTACTAGTAAAAAAAAAAAAAAAAAAAAAAAAAAAAATTATAGAGCCTTAATGTCAGGATAACTAAGTTTTGCTTAAAAACTATACCAAAATTAGGGGCACCCGGGTGGCTCAGTGGGTTAAGCCTCTGCCTTCAGCTCAGGTCGTTGTCCCGGGGTCCTGGGATCGAACCCCGCATCGGGCTCTCTGCTCGGCAGGGAGCCTGCTTCCCCCTCTCTCTCTCTCTGCCTGCCTCTCTGCCTACTTGTGATCTCTGTCAAATAAATAAATAAAATCTTTAAAAAAAAAAAAACTATACCAAAATTAAATAAACAATGAATTTAAAAGTTGGAGAAAAGGGAAGAGCAGATCAAACAGGAGGAATTACGTTAGTAACTGCTGAAGCTAGTAATCATATTATATTATTTCTCTACTTTTGTTATTTGAAAATATCCATAATAAAAATTAACAGTAAAAAGAAAAAACCTTAAGATCTTCTCCAAAGGGTAATTCTCAAGATTAAACTAGCAACATGGAAAACACTTATGGAAAGTAGAACCTACCAAATGCTGTGTGCAAATACAACCACAACCACATAGAATGTGCGCATATACCCAAACAGTAAATAAAGAAATCATAGAGACAGTGGGATTCTGAGTGATTATTCTTTCTTTAAAAATATTTTACTCCCGGGGTGCCTTACGAGGCTTAGTCAGTGACGCGTCTGACTCTTGATTCCGGCTCAGGTCATGATCTCAGGATTATGATATTGAGCCCTTATCGGGCTCCAAGCTAGGTGTGGAATCTGCTTATGATTCTCTCTCCCTCTGCCCCACCCTTCTCGTGCTTTCTAAATAAATAAATAAATAGACAAATAAATAAATAATACAAATAAATAAATATATATTTATTTATTTCTTTTTCTAATAGAGCACAGGGAAATTTACAAGTTGTATGTAAATTAGTTTTCATGGCTATAAAGTCAAGCCTTAATGTTCTGAAAGTTTTAACCTAAATAACCTAAAATAACTTCGACAGGAGCTGCTTCATTAAGTTTTACTCAGGCCACTATTCAAGATCTTTGGTACATAATCTTTTTTAAAGGACCCCCACCTTTGCATTAAATGCCACACCCTTCTTAAGAGAAACTCAGATAAATATAGGAACAGTTCACTTACATCATTACTAAAAACATCCCTCCACAGGTGAAGCAAGCATGCAGAAAAGGCAAGTGTGTGTAAAGAAACTGGCAACTTCTCAGAACAAAAGAATCATAATTACCACCTATCTCTTCCACTAAAGCTTTTTCATTTGAACTCCCGCTTTATTTTCGGCAGAAACCCGTGAAAATACAATACAGTACCATTTCACGCTTTCTATGAGACATTACCTTTTGCTGTGATCTGGCTCTGGGGGCTCGACGTCTGGCTTTGCTATTGATGACCTCCTCTCTCTTGGAACCTTAGATATTAACAAACACGACACAATTTAGTTCTCACTTAGTGAAATACAGATGCAGCCTCTTTTCAGTGAAGTTCAACCACTGATAAGTCTACTTGATCGCCTGCCAAATGCCAGGCTGTGGGGATATGCGACGAGTGAGACAGTGTCTGCCCTCAAGAGCTTACAAATCTTGTCACGAGGTTAACATGTAAAAACTGACAATTCCTTCGTTGCCAAATAAACCCAGGGCATCACGAATTCACTCTGTCATTGAGTTTGGGTTTCATCTCTTAAAAAAAATATCTCTGGCTTGGTTTTACCATTTATCTACGCTACGGAATAAAGAAGCTACTGAAAACACAACCAGATTCCCAGTGTTCTTGCCTTTCCGTTGCCCTTCCTTTCAGATCAAACGCACAATCGAAAGGCTCAGCCACGCTAACAGTTCATTTCCAAGATCCAAGTGCTGGCCTCAGATGATAAATTTTTCAAATGCTCTGGGATTCCCATTATCTGGTACCCAGAGGACAAATCGAACTCAGTTTGTTCTATGCTTTTCTTGAGTCTGTTCTTCTTTATGCAGGAGATGAAAACAGGCTAACATTATACATGTGTACCCTAGACATCAACCCGCTGGAGAGCAATTCCAAACATGTGCTCCAAAATTGCTAAATGTTTGAAACTGTTTCCAATGTGAACGTATGGCTATATTTACCTTTAAACACAAAACAAATTATTTCATGTGTTAACAAATGTGTTTTTAAATCTTCACTGAAGTTATTTAAATCTTCATCGAAGAGGGCGCCTGGGTGGCTGAGTCGGTTAAGCATCTGACTCTTGATCTCAGCTCAGGTCTTGATCTCAGTGTTGTGAGTTCAAGCCCTGGGTCAGGCTCCACACTGGGAGTAGAGTCTACTTAAACAGTTATTGTGTAAAAACGACAGATGGTTATATTCAAAGAGCTGAAACAAATCAGTTCATTTAAAAAAGAAAAGAACGCTACACCTGTCACAAGAAACCTGACATATTAGTACTCAGACTGTCACCCCAATGGACAGACATAATGACTGATCTCCTAAGATGTAAAATACTTTTAGGACCCTTTACTTAAAATACATACACATACAACCCCTGCAATCAGTATCATTACATCAGTCTTTCTGGCACTGAACTTGTTTATTTTCTCCCATTTTCAAAAAGTTTCAGTTAAAAAGACGTACTTCAAACTTCATAATTAATACTTAGGAACTTACGATTTTTACACTGAGTCAAGAAAACAGGACTCAAGAAGAAGAGATTTATCATAAGTTCCACTTCGAAGGAATTCTTCGGCTCTACTTTCCAGGCAAAGAGATCTCCTAGCATCATTAGTTACTACACAAGTTTCCCTTCATATTCAAAGGAAAAAAACAAAACAAAACTTACCCCAGTCTCTCAATCACAACAAGCTGGATACATGGCCTCAGACCAGAAAATAATGAAATCTTTTGTTTAGGTCCCACCCTAATTTGGTAATCATAATCAAGCCATCTTCTTTGTTTTTTTCCCTCTGCATTTTTTTAAAAGAGTTTATTTATTTATTTAACAGACACACACACACACACACACACACATAGACACACAAGGAAAGAGAGTGAGAGCACAAGCACGGGGAGTTGCAGGCAGAGGGAGAAGGAGAAACAGACTTCCCGCCAAGCAGGGGGCCCCACAGGAAGCTGGATCCCAGAACCCTGGGATCATGACTTGAGCTGAAGGCAGCTGCTTAACCAACTGAGCGACCCAGGCACCTCCGCCCTCTGCATTTCTTATATTCAGGAAAGAATACGATGCCAGAATGTAACAAACCACAAGCAACTGGTGAATCCAGGTGGAAGTATCTGAGAGTTAATCATCTGATTAAATTGAAGTTTTCTATATGTCTGGAAGTTTTAAAAACAGAAATATGGCAAAAATCAACTGTGATATAGAGCAATCACCACATAGTACTCTCAAGCAGAAAGAATGCCAAAGAGTCTAGCAAGCAAAGAACATTCCATGGAGACAGCATGGCACGCCGAAAAGGATGACTTTGGCATAATCCAGACCAGGCCTCAAATCCCGGCTGCAACACGTGCTAGTTGTGTGACCTGAGAACTTAATTTTTTCCTATTTGCAAAACAGCGGTCATACCACGTATTTTGCAGGCTTTCTGGAGAGATCAGAAATAACACGCATGGCAGTAACATGCTTAATGTGACAGAGGAAACCAGTAAGTGGTGACCAGTGACGAGGACACAGATCTTCAGATAGGAACATCACACAAAACTCCAAGCACAGAACAGATTATATTTAAGACTAATCTATTGAAATAGAAACAGAACATATTCTGATCTTAGAAGCAGAAAGTCCAAGACTAGAAGAATAGCTTTCCTTCATGAATCCTTCAGTCAAATCAAAGGCCCTGTGATATCACATAAGGCGAGGAAATCATTCTGACCACATCAGAATAAAGGTTGGAGCGCAGGGAAATGAACCACTGTCTACTCTTCGGGGCACTAAGAAGTCCCTTTGATAAAACGTTCAGTCTCAGTAAGACACATCTCCCGTCTTCTTTTATGGTAGCTTCACCCTCCAGATTGAGCTAGAGCAGCTGGCTACTTCACCCATTTTAAAAACAACCCTTTGATTCTATGATCGTAGATTTTCGGCTTTGAACCACAGTAAGTCAAAGCACTCATTAAACTATTTATAGTCACTAGAGAAGCAACTTGCTTTACATTCTGCCAGCAAATTACTGTTTTATATGCTGTTGAATCAAGTGCATCTCGGACTGTTGTTAGGTTTTTGAAAGAGGAGGCACAGCTACCTTGTAATAGTCATAGAGCAAGCCCAGGGCGGCTGCACTGTCTTCGTCTCCGTTGATGCTCATCATCGCCTTGGTTGCCGCGGTGAGAGGGTTCTCCAGGAAAGACTTCCAGGCTTCGTCCTCGCTAGTATAGGGGCGCCGCTGTGGATAAAGGGCTTCATTCTGGAGAACCAAGACTGGCCGTTTGCTTCGGAGAGATTAAAAACACACATACAGCTAGATCTCACACTTTTCACTGCAAGGCACCATAAGCTAATTTTTAAAAGACCCAAACAATCAATTCCTTGATATTCCAGTAAAAGAGCCCAATGACCCACCCCAGCAAAGGGCACCGAGGCGAGACCAGGAGACAAGCCACCTGAACGCACACCGACGGGGCCCCCGGGTAAGATATACGGGACCGGGGAGCCAGGAAACGTGCAGTTAACCTGCACACATGACCCAGGATATATAATTTGGCAAAACAAAACAAAACACTCCAAGAAAATGCCAGGCTATTCAAATACCTAAGCAAACAAACACAAGGACAAAGTGAGGCAAAACAGAACATTCATTCTCCTCAGACATCCGCAGTCAAGACTGTACCCTCTTAAAGAGAGCAGACCCGGTTCAAGCATCGTGCTGCTACATGTTACTTCCCTCTTTCTCCTGTTGATACCAGGCCTTAAAAACTCTCCTACCCACAAACCAGGGAGAGAGGAGGAGGGGGCGGAAAGAAAAGAGCCACTTCGTTTAATCCTCGGGGGTATATGAGAAAGTTAGAATATTCTACTGATTACCACCAGATTGAGCATGGAATGTGGCCAAAGGGGACTGTAAATCAATAAGGAGGCATAATTTTCTGGCATGGGAGTTAACTGTTTATCTTAAAGATAAACACTTAAGAATCTACAACAATAAATAAGGCCACTGAACAAAAAGAGCTTTTTAAGAAAATAGGTGGGAAATCTGTTTTTAAAACTCTTTACTAGATTTTCACACCGGGCAAGAAGGGTTTCATTTTAACACTGTAGTTGGGTGGGAAAAATCCAGAAAAATCAACAGAGATCTTAGTAAAGTCTTACAGAAGATTCAGTTTTAAAGATTAAAACAAACATTACTGATTCCAAAAACTTGAAATGTCAACAGTCTCAACAACTTTTCAGTTGGTACTATTTAACAAGTCAATAAGGAGAAAAAGCGGAACACAAACTCCAGCAAAATGAAGTTGTTGTTTTTTTTTTTTTAAGGGAAAAAAATTGTTAATGTTCAAAACTATTCTGAATTATCAGTATTCTAACAAGCAAATTTAAGGATCAGCTCTCATTGCAACACATAAATGAAATATGTAAATGGCCTAAAGGTGACCTACCTACTCTAAAAGTGAATGTAGAGAGATTGATTATCTTTTCAAGTAATCAACAAAGGTTAGGGTTTTGGCAGGCAGGCCCTTTAGAAACAGATCCAGATTTTTAAAAAGGAGAACATCTTTGAAAAAGGGTGGGAACATGGGCCAACAGCTGAATTTATCCTCAAAATTTGGTCTTATTTCAAAGCCAGTGTTTTAAACTCATGTCTAGGCATAAAATCCAAATACTGATTACATTTACTAGGCAAGGCAGTTCTGAGGGGGGTATACTATTCTAACACGATGATGTTTATTTAAAAGTGAAGGCTGCGTGTACAAATCTCAAACTCACAATAAACAAATAAATGCACAAAAAGGCATTCTCTATACCATTAGGAGCAGAGTATAACAGCCACTGAATCAGTGGTATCTTGGGGTGATTTACTGGTGCGCTGCTAAGCTATTATTAATAGTGTAATAGCTACTTCCAGAAGATTATGACAGCACTTGGCTCATTCAATTCCAGTAATGCTAGTTTTTCAGCTTCCCTCCTTCTCCCACCCCCATCCCAAATTTGTATAGGCAACAGAAAATATTTTTTGCAAATGGTTTTGTTTGGGATCACCCTGGAGGTGTCTTGCATTTCCAAAGTGTGCCTAAGGCCAAAATTTTAGCTTTGGAAATTTGCCTTATCTAAATCATAAGTCAAGAAATAAACAGTCACCAGTTGCCTGACTTAGGTCTACTTCCTCATATGACAGTCAGGCAGTTGCTCGTCCCTAAAGGCCCATCACTGCCTTTGGTTAAGACTTAAACTCTTCATTAGTGATCTCTCGAAAGACTTCTGAAACATACTTCAAGTGATTAATTTAACTGCACATTCTACAACCCAAGATTAATCCATTTAAGATATCCCCTACACAACATCTAACCTTCCCAATCAGAAAAAGAGCACACTTAAATAAAATGGTCCTTAACAAACAATTATAAAACTGGAATGGAATATCTCTGATCTGGATTTACTGATCTGCCGTAGATGGTTGGGTTTGGTGCGATTTACTTTTTTCCTAATAAATATTTTGTTTCACAACAATTTCACACTTACAGAAAAGATGCAAAGAAAACACTGAAGTATCCCTCCCCCGCCCCCGCGTCCCTCAAAGTTAACATCTTGCGTTACCACCTTGCATTTGTCAAAAATATGTCTTTGATCACAAACTCCAAAAGGAGTACTAGTACGATACGTTCTGTTTATCACCCAAATTTCGAAGATTTCACCCTCTTGATATGTTCTGAGGATTTTTAATTACAGTAATCTGTAATTACCATCAATGATGCAAGTGGCAAAATAACTCCTACAACAATTTTCTCACTCACACAGCCAGCCAGCGGGGAAAAATGCCAGGACAGCAGAGCACTTCAACTTTTCCCTAAATTTCTCCTTTCTGGAGTTCTGGCAGGCGGACTGGAGGAGAGGGCTGGACGACGACGGGCTGATTACAGGAGACGTCTACCTTCCCAGCGGGGGAGCCGGTCCCCAAGAGCTCCGCTGGCCCCCCTGAGCAAAAGCGACCCCGAGGGGGGCCCCGCGCGGCGCGGCGCCCCGAGTCTCCCTCCCCGCACCCCTGCCAGCAGCAAAGCCGAGATGGGGGTGCGCCCGCGGGGTGGTCCCCCCGACGAGGCCGCTGAGGCGGAGGGGGGCGAGGAGGGAGGTGTCCCCTCCGGAACTGAGTCCCCAAGGCAAGGGTCTGCCTCGGGGGCTTCGGTGGAACAAAGGGCGGGGGAGGGGGTGCCGAGGGCAGAGGCCGCGGCGGGGTAGAAAGTGGACGGTGTGACGCGCGCCCCCCGCCCTCCCTGCGCGCTTCGCGTCCCCGTCCCCGTCCCGCGCCCGGCCTAGCACCCCAGCTCGTCCGGCCTCGCCTCTTCCCGGCCCGCGGCAGGTGCGGCTGGCCCGGCGCGCAGCGGCGGCCTGAAGCCGCACGACCGGACTCGCGCGCCGGCGCCTCACTCACTTGTCGTACTCCTGTGTCATCGCGCTTGCTCGCCGCTGCCGGGCCGCAGAACTGGACTTTCGGGTTGGGACAGTACACCCGATCCCGGGGGGAGGAGGAAGCGGCGGCAGCGGCGGCGGCGGCGGCGGCGGGTCCGGAGCGGCGGCCCCGACGGGTTGGGTTCGCTTTTCTCGCTCTGAGCCGGCTCGGCGCGGGCTGCGCGCTCTGGACGCCCGGGCTCGACCGCCCATTGGCTGGCGGCGCGCCGGGCCGGGGCGGGGCCTCGGGGCCGGGCGGCCAACGGCGCCCCCTGATTGGCCGGCCTGCGGGGCGCCGGGGCGGGGGCCGCGGCTCCGCGTGGCCGCGTCGGTGGGGCGCGCCCCGCGCTGTCGGCCTGCCTCCGGCGGGGACTGGCGTGGCCGCGCTGCTCCCGGCGCGCACCTCCCGCCGCTCTGCCGGCCTCCGCGCGCCCACCGCCCTGGGCCGCCGTCGCAGCCCTTGGCCGCTCGCCTGAGGGACGGGCCATGTCTCGGCGCCGCCCTCTCGGGCCTCGGGGCCGGGTCCTTCCTTCCCCGCTGGCCCACCGAAGCCCAGCCCGCTTCAGTGACGGAGCCTCCGGGGCCGCGGGCCGCCGCTCGGCCGCCTCGGGCACCTTCCCTGCCCGGGTCTGTGACGCGCCCCGCCCTCGTGCCGCCTCTCAGTCCGCGTCCGCGTTATTTATGAGGCTCTGGCTTTTACCTGAGAAAGCTCGGTTGGCTGCTTCCTCGCGGAGCCCACGGCACTGTCTGGCGTTAGAACCTTCCGCGCGTCCGTCTCACGTTGGCCGCTGCGTGACAGTCACGGGCAACCGCTGTTTCCCCTCGTGCGGCCGGCCCGGGGACCTGCCTCCAGCCCTAGCTGCCTGGTCCCAACTGCCTGCCCGGCCGGTCCCCTCTTCTGCGCCCACCTCCCTGCTGGCCCCCGCCAGTCTCCCAGCTCGAATCCCCGCGCACCCCTTCTTTCAGGTCCCCCATCGGGGCTTCAACCCCTTCACCCTTCACTCCCCTCACCCCCAGCTCCTTCCGTGGGCTCCATCTCAGCCCCGCTGCCGAGCCTTCGAGCAGCCCCACCTACTCCAGCGTCTGTGCCTACCCCCCGCGGCCATTCATTCCCACCCCACCCCTGGCCCAAACCGTCCTTCTGAGCTGAAGCTCTTCTCTGGGGTCTGCTCGCTGCTTGAACAAATATACACTGAGAGAACTCCTGTATGCCGGCATTGTTCCCGATGCTGGAGATAGTGAGCCGGTTTCCCTGCCTGCCTGCCGCATCCTAGGGGGTAACAGACAATGAACAGGAAGAGTAAATTACACGGTGCGGTGGAGAGCGGCGAGCTCTGCAGGAGGAAGAGCCGAGCGGCCAGCCGGAGAGCACGGGGTGGAGCCGGGGCTGGAAGGCTTGAGAAGGAAAGGCCTGCAAGGAAGTGGGGGAGGAAGGGACAGGCAGAGGCACACCTTTGCATCAGTTGTGAACAGGGACCGTAGGAGACCCGTATGACCAGAGGGGGACAAAGAGGGAGGACGGGAGACGCAGGTTTTTGTGCCTACTTCAGTTTTTGCAGAGTAAGATGGAGGGTTTGGAGTAGAGCCCGTCTTTAAATCGTCTGGGTGGTAAGGGCACAAAGATGGGGGCAGTGAGCCCAGACCACAGTGAACAGTAGCGTGGCCTCGAGTGGTGGAGTGAGACATGGCTGGCTCTACTCTGAAGATAAAGCCAGGAGGATTTACTGAAAATTGGATATAAAGTACGAGAAAAAAGCCATTCAAAGATAGCTATCGAAGGTAAAACCCAGAAGGAATGGTTAGCCATCACCGAGATGGGGAAGACGGCAGACATAGGTCTGGGGGAGGTCAGGAGTCCCATTTTGGACATGAATTCAAGATGTTCATTGGCACTCCAGACACATCAGTAGGTTGGATGTGAGTGTGGGGACCAGGGACCAGGTTGGATATGAGTGTGGGGACCAGGGACAAAGGGGCTTCAGGGAGTTGTCGGCACAAAGATGGTCTTGAAGGCCTGGAGAAAAGATGACTCTCCATTGTGGTGAGGGAGGAGAGAACGGGACCGACACAGGGTCTTGGAGCCCCCAACACAGAAAGGCTGGGAAGAAGGGGATCCAGCAGCAGGGGGGAGACCACTGAGGCTGGAGGAGAATAGAGGCACAGGAACTGAGTAGAGAAAGTGAGACAGGAGGGGGGTCCCGTCGGCTGGGGCCCGTGCTGCCTGGACGTCTGGTAAGAGAGGATTTAGCGCCATGGAGCACCACAGGGGCTTCATTCAGCACCCGCAGTCCCTCAGCAATCCCTGCCAGTTTCCCACTCCCTGTTCTCTGGGCCCCTTGGGCCCTGAATCAGCACCCACAGACCCTCCTCACTGTCCCCTCTCTGCCATTTCCCATTTCCATCCCCTAATCCTGGGTCCAACACTGGACCATGGAACCTGTCCTTTTTTTTTTTTAAAGATTTTATTTATTTATTTGACAGACAGAGATCACAAGTAGGCAGAGAGGCAGGCAGGGGGTGGGGTGAGCAGGCTCCCCACTGAGAACAGAGAGCCCAATGCAGGGCTCTATCCCAGGACCCAGGGATCATGTCCTGAACCGAAGGCAGAGGCTTTAACCCACCAAGCCACCCAGGAACCCCGTGTCCTCCTTTTCTTATTCACTAGTTTCATTAAGGAACTCATTTAAGGATTCACTAGATCATTTAAGGAAAATATTAATAACAGTACAAGGACATCATCAGCGTTGCCCTGATTGAAGCGACTCACAGTGGGACCCTGTCTCTACCTTGACTTTTCTCTTCTTCCTCTATCGCAGCTGCAGCTGTGGCCAGGCTGAACTTTATAAAGCACACATTTGAGATTCTGTCACTCTGGTACACTCCAGATAAAGTTCAACTCCTTAGCAGGGTGAGCAGATGAATAGCTCAACCTGCCATTTTGCTCTTCTGCTCCTTCCGGTCCTGCTCAGCACTGAGAACCACCCTTGCCCCCAATTCCCTGCTCCTCCACTTCCCAGCTGGCCCACCTTCCAGACTCAACCTTCCAGACTTATCCGGGACTCCCCATTGCTGCAGGGGGACCTCCCTGACCTCCTAGGCTGGATCAAGTGTCCTGGGCACACCCACCGTCCTCCAAGCCTCACCGCATCACACTTACACATTCTGTTTGTAATACGTGATTTTTCCCACCATGGTGGGGGCTCTTCATGAGAGGGCAGGGGTTGTATCGCTTTGGTTTGAATGTCCCTGGCCTCATGGGATACACATAGAAAATATTTCTTAAGTGTTCATTGAATGGGTACCATCCTCTACAGGCATTGGTCTGCCTCTCTTCCCTTCTGGACCATGTCTGCGATGGATCTAAGCAGCCTTCGTGTTATAAAGACTAATGGCCCCATGCTTCAGTCCCACTGCCTGGTGCATGGTAGGCACAAAATAAATATGGGACGAATGAATAAATATCAAATCATAGAACCCAAAACAGGAACAGTAAGGGCCCGAGGTTGCTAGACCTTAGATATATTAATAAAAACATTGGGTCTCTTTTGTAAATGTTCATACAGGCTTATTGAGCTTGTCTCTGAGAGTTCTCTAAAACAGGAGTTAAGATCCAGATCTGTGAGTGATCCGCCTAGCTATTGGCAATACCTTTATGTTTTTTACTATTTTTTTAGGTTATAAAAATCATGCATGGTCATAGTTTTTTTTTTTTTTTTTTTTAGATTTTATTTGTTTATTTGTCATAGAGAGAGAAGTGAGAGCGAGCACAGGCAGACAGAGTGGCAGGCAGAGGCAGAGGGAGAAGCAGGCTCCCTGCCAAGCAAGGAGCCCGATGTGGGACTCGATCCCAGGACGCTGGGATCGTGACCTGAGCCGAAGGCAGCCACTTAACCAACTGAGCCACCCAGGTGTCCCAGTCATAGTTTTTTTTTTAAAGGAAAAAAGAAAAGAAGTAAAGGAACAAAAAAAAAAAAAGGAAAAAAGAAAATTTAAGTAACATGGAGGGTTTAGAGCACAGAGTCCCTCTTCATCCTGTCCCTCTCCCCCAAAGATCATCACTGTGAAGTTTTTGTATCTCTTCCTAGATAATGCTTATGTGTCTGCAAGCATACATATGTTTTATTTTCTTACACAAATGGGATTCACACTGTGCACAACCCTTCTCAGTGTGCTTGCTTCTGTATCTTATGTCTCAAACATTTTCCATGTGAGCATATACACATCTACTGCCTTTTAAAAAAAATGACTACGGGGGCGCCTGGGTGGCTCAGTGGGTTAAATCCTCTGCCTTCAGCTCAGGTCATGATCTTGGGGTCCTGGGATCGAGCCCCACATCGGGCTCTCTGCTCAGCGGGGAGCCTGCTTCCTCCTCTCTCTCTGCCTGCCTCTCTGCCAACTTGTGATCTCTGTCAAATAAATAAATAAATAAAATCTTAAAAAAAAATGACTACGTATTATTTCTTTGTATTGATGGGTGACAATGAGACCCTATGGGTGAGCAATTAGGATTTTTCTCCCCAGTTTTTCACAATCATAAACTTCCTGCATTAAACATCCCCCTAACTATACACTTTGCACACTTGACAGGTATGGCTGTTGGGTAAATCCCAGAATTGGAACTTCCGTGAAAAAGGCATGCAAAGTTGCAATTTTTATAGATTTTACCAAGTTGTTTTCGAAAAGGTTGCCCCATATTTGGGTACCAACCAACAGGATATCAGAGAGTCTGAAGCACCACACCCTCACCAAACCTGGGCATTATCAAACTTTGCTGACCCGGTCTGTTAGATGAAAAATTCTATCTTGTTGTTTTGATTTGCATTTTTAAAAATTATGAGTGAGGTTTGGCATCTTTTTGTTTGTTTGGCAATAATTCTTTTTAGCCCATGAGTGGGGTTGTGTTTTTGTTTTAAGAGAAGGAGGATCTTTGAGGCACCTTCTCAAGTCGTGGCCTTCCAAGTAGGGAATGTGGAAGTTAGGAGGCAGGGCTGAATAGACTGAGTGAGTTCTAGCCCAGGTTCTTCTGCTTTCTGGGCCTCAGAAAAAGGAAGAGGT